TATCAGATTAACTGCAGATTTCTCTGCAGAAACCCTTTAAGTCAGAAGAAATTGGGATCCTATATTTAGCCTTCTTAAAATAATCATCAGCAAAAAAATTTGTATCCAGCAAAACTAAGCTATAAATGAAGGAAAGACACAGTCTTTTCCAGACACATGCTAAGAGAACTCACCACTACCAAGCCAGCACTACAATAACTACTATAAAGAGTTCTAATCTTGAAACAAAACCTCAAAACATGCCAAAAATAGAACCTCCTTTAAGCAGAAATCTCTTAGGGCCTATAGAACAACTACACAAAGAAAAAGCATCAGGGTATTCAGGCAAAAATTGGCATGAGTAACAGAATAGCACCTCACATCTCAATATTAACATTGAACATAAATGGCCTAAATGTTCCACTTAAAAGAAACAGAATGGCAGAATGGATAAGAATTCAACAACTGAGGATCTGCTTTCCTCAAGAGACTCACCTGACACATAAAGATTCACATAAACTTGAAAGGATGGAGAAAGATATTCCATGCAAATGGACACCAAAAGCAAGCAGTAGTAGCTATTGTTATATCAGCAAAACAGACTTTAAAGCAACAGTAGTTAAAAAAGTAATGATAAAAGGACTAGTCCAGCAAGAAAATATCACAATCCTAAATATATAGACACATAACACTGGAGCTCCCAAATTTATAAAACAGTTACTACTAAACCTAAGAAATTGGATAGACAACAGCACAGTAATAGTGGGGAACTTCAGTACTTCACTGACAGCACTAGGCAGGTCATCAAGACAGAAAGTCAACAAAGAAACAGTGAACTTAAACTATACCACAGAACAAATGGACTTAACAGATATTTACAGAACATTCTACCCAACAACTGGAAAATATACATATGGAATGTTCTCCAAGATAGACTGTATCATAGGCCACAAAACAAAACCCAATAAATTTAAGAAAATCAAAATCATATCAAGTACTCGCTCAGACTACAGTGGAATAAAATTGGAAATCAACTCAAAGGTACCCTCAAAATCATGCAAATACATGGAAATTTAGTAATCTGCTCCTGAATAATCATTGGGTCAACGATAAAAATTTAAAAATTCTTTTAACTAAACACTAATAGTGACATAACCTATTGGAACCTCTGGGATACAGAAAAAGCAGGGTTAAGCAGAAAGTTCATAGCCTCAACACCTACAATCAAAAAGTGTGAAAGAGTACACATAGACATTCTAAAGTCATGCCTCAAGGAACCAGAGAAACAAAATCAAGCCAAGCTGAAACCTAGCAGAAGAAAAGACATAACGAAGATCAGAGCAGAACTAAATGAAAATGAAACAAAAAAAAAAGCAATACAAAATATAAATGAAACAGAAAGCTAGTTCTTTGAAAAGATACAAAACTCATAGGCCATTAGTGAGATTAACCAAGCAAAGAAGAGAGAGGATCCAAATAAGCTCAACTAGAAATCAAATGGGAGATACTACAACCAATACCAAAGAAATACAAAAGATCATTTAAGGCTACTGTGAACACTTTTCACGTGCACAAACTAGAAAACCTAGAAAAGATAGACAATTCCTGGAAATGTACAATCCTCTAAACCAGGAAAATACAGAAACTCTGAACAGAACAATAACAAGTAGTGAGATTGAAATGGTAGGATTTCAGGAAGAATTGTTATCAATCCTATTGAAACTATTCCAAAAGATAGAGAAAGAGGGAAGCCTCCCTAAATCATTCTATGAAGCCAGTATCACCCTAATATCAAAACTGGAAAAAGACATAACACAAAAAGAAAACTACAGACCAATATTTCTTATAAACATCAATGCAAATTCCTCAAGAAAATTCTAGCTAACTGAATCCAACAGCATATCAAAAAGATAATTCACCATGATCAAGTAGGTTTTATCCAGGGATGCAGGGATGGTTTAACATGAGCAAGTCAAAATATGTAATACACCACATAAAAAGAATGTAAAACAAAAATCACATGATCATCTCAATAGACATAGAAAAAGCATGTGACAAAATCCACCATTTCTTTATAATTAAAACCCTCGGCAAAATCAGCCTAGAAGGGACATATCTTAATGTAATAGAAACCCTCTATAACAAACCCACAGCCATTATACTGAGTGGGGGAAAGCATTCCCACTGAGACCTGGAACAAGACAAAACTGTCACTTTCACCACTTGTATTCAACATAGTACTAGAAATCCTAGCCAGAACAATCAAACAAAGGAAGGAAATAAAGAATATCCAAATCAGTGAAAAGAAAATCAAACTGTCACTGTTTGCCAATGGTATTATCGTATACCTAGAAAACTCAAAAGATTCATCCAAAAAGGTCCTAGATCTGATAAATGAATTCAGTAAAGTTTCAGGATACAAAATCAATGTACACAAATCATAGCACTGCTATACACCAACAGCAACCAAGATGAGAATCAAATTAAGAACTCAATCCCTTTTTAAAACAGCTGCCAAAAACAATGATATAATTAGGAGTATACCTAACCAAAAAAAGTGAAATACCTCTACAAGAAAACTACAAAACACTGCTGAAAGAAATCATAAATGATACAAACAAATGGAAACTCATCCTATGCTCATGGATGGGTAAAATCAATTGTAAAAATTACCATACTGCCAAAAGCAGTCTACAAATTTAATGCAATTCTCATCAAAATACCATCATCATTTTTACAGAACTAGAAAATACAATCCTAAAATTCATATGGAGCCAAAAAGACCTGCATAGCCACAGCAAAACAAAACAAAAAGAACAAGTCTGAAAGCATCACATTACCCCACTTCAAACTATACTACAAGGCTATAGTCACCAAAACAGCATGGTACTCGTATGAAAATAGGCACATAGACCAATGGAAGAGAATGGAGAACACAGAAATAAAGCAAAATACTTACAATCAAGTGATCTTCAACAAAGCAAACAAAAACAAAAAGTGGGAAATGGACACCCTATTCGAAAAATGGTGGTGGGATAATTGGCAAGATCCGTGTAGACGAATGAAACTGGATCGTCATCTCTCACCTTATACAAAAATCAACTCAAGATGGATCAAATACTTAAATTTAAAACCAAACCATGTAAGCTCTAGAAGATAACATCAGAAAAACTTTTTTAGACATTGGCTTAGGCAAAGAGTTTATGACTAAAACCCAAAAGCAAATGCAACAAAAACAAAGATAAAAAGATGGGACTTACGTAAACTAAAATGCTTCTGCACAGCAAAACAATCAGCAGAATAAACAGAAAACCCAAAGAATGGTGGAAAATTTTCACAAACTATGCATCCAACTAAGGACTAATATCCAGAATCTACAAGAAACTCAAACAAATCAGAAAAAAATAAATCCCATCAAAAAGTGCGCTAAGGAGTAGACAGTTCTCAAAATAAGATAGACAAAAGGCCAACCAGCATATGAAAAGCTGCTCATCATCATTTATTATCAGGGAAATGCAAATCAAAAGTACAATGAGACTAATGCCTTATTCCTACAAGAATTACCATAATGGAATTTTTTTTATATAATGGATAATGGCGTGGATGTGGTGAAAAGGGAACACTTTTGTACTGCAGGTGGGAATGTAAACTCATGTAAGCACTATGGAAAACAGTATAGAAATTCCTTAAAGAACTAAATGTAGGCCGGGCGCGGTGGCTCAAGCCTGTAATCCCAGCACTTTGGGAGGCCGAGGCGGGTGGATCACGAGGTCAAGAGATCGAGACCATCCTGGTCAACATGGTGAAACCCCGTCTCTACTAATGGTGCAAAAAATTAGCTGAGCATGGTGGCGCGTGCCTGTAATCCCAGCTACTCCGGAGGCTGAGGCAGGAGAATTGCCTGAACCCGGGAGGCGGAGGTTGCGGTGAGCCGAGATCGCGCCATTGCACTCCAGCCTGGGTAACAAGAGCGAAACTCCGTCTCAAAAAAAAAAAAAAAAAAAAAAAAAAAGAACTAAATGTAAATCTACTGTTTGATCCAGCAATTTCACTACTGACTATCTACTCAGAGAAAAAGAAGTCATTATATGAAAAAAAAGAAACTTGCACATGCATGTTTATAGCAGTAGAATTCACAATTGCAAAAATATGGAACCAGCCCAAACCGAATGACCATTAATCAATGAGTGGATGAAGAAAATGTGTTATATATATTTATATATTTGTTGTATATTTATATATATGTGTGTTATATATATGTATATATATGTGTGTGTCATATATGTGTTATATATATGTGTATATATACATATATATATATAAAATGTAATACTACTCAGCCATGAAAATAAATGCAATGATGGCATTCACAGCAACCGGGATGGAGCTGGAGAACATTATTCTAAGTGAAGTAACTCAGGAATGGAAAAAGCAAACATCCTATGTCCCCACTTGTAAGTGGGAGCTAAGCTATGAGGATGCAAAGGCATAAGAATGATACAATGGAGTTTGGGGACTCGAAGGACATGTCCGGACAGGGAGGGATGAAAGACTACAAGTTGGGTACAGTGTACACTGTGGTGATGGATGCACCAAAATCTCAGGAATCACCACTGAAGAACTTACCCATGTAATCATACACCACCTGTTCCCCCAAACTATTTTTTTAAAAGTTCCCTTGAAACCAGAAATCAGCATTTGTGGCCTGAGAGTGGTTTTTAGTTTGTCATGCCGTGAGTTACTCCCAATTCCCAAAGCTTCAATCTACCACTTTCCTACTTAAACATTTTTATCTACTTTATTATTTAAGTCATATCTCCAACTCAGATTTATTGGCACTGCTTAACAACTAATATCGGCTTTTATTATTTAAAAAATTTCAATATTTAATATATGTACATAACTAAATATGTTGCACGTTTTACAGTGATCTTTGTTCTCTTGAATTAACTTATTCACTATTATATGAAATTTGCAACAGTGTTAAATAATAATTACAGTTTTGTTTTATTTTCTTTTAGGATCCCGCTTTTACTGCTTTGTTAACCACCCAAGCAGGAGTACAACAGGAGATTGTAAATAAACACAATGAACTAAGGAAAGGAGTCTCTCCACCTGCCAGCAACATGCTAAAGATGGTAAGAGGCAGTGATGTAAGGAGAGGAGTGTGAACCAGCTGTGGAAGGAGTGGATGGCTGGCCACTGGCATCTCTTAAGAACTTTGTGGTTTACAAAGTTGTGTCTCTGTTTTGCTATTTTATTTGAACGGTTATATGGAGAGGATTGTATTCCTGTTTTTGCTTTTTAAAAAGGTTTAAAAAAAAAAAAGCTGTCAGTTATTCCGAGTTACTCAGTTTGGAAGGCAGAATTAGAAGGCCAATATTCAGGCATCCAGTGTTAAGCCACTATACTTTTTGTTCATTCTCTTTCCTGGTTTAAAATCAAGAATTCCCTTTTTCTTCAGGATCAGTGGCAGCTGGTGAGTAAAGCCCACTTCCCAGGGCACAGTCCCTGAAAGACAGGTATCTCCAATATAAAAGTGATGGCCTACATATGAAAACAAATGGAACTGGAAATAACGTTGGCCAGCTTATTACTATTAAAATATAATTAGAATATGTTATATGCTTATCAATATTTAGACTAGCGTCATTAATAATATCCTAGGTATGGCTGCTTTGCTATCATAAATAATTACATATTATTGTCTTAGATATTTTGCTTTTTAGATATATTACCTATGGACTTCTCTTCATGTGCAAACTGGCATCAGAACAGATAAAAACACATAAAAATATTTTAATAACAGTAATATTAGAGAATACGTCCACAGAAATTTTAAAGTATTTACAAATCAGATTTTACGAATCAGATTATGAAGTGTATGTTTCATTGTGGCTGAAGTGAAAAGTGTATTTTGTTTTCTTGTGACATTTAGGAATGGAATAGAGACGCAACAATAAATGCTCAAAGGTGGGCAAACAAGTGCACTTTACAACACAGTGATCCTGAGGACCGCAAAACCAGTATGTAAATTAGTAAATACTTGCTGAATAAATAAACAATAAAATAACAATAGAGCATTGTAGGATGCTCTATAATAAGAAGACTTTGAAAACAAATGCTACTTGTACTGCTGACTTTTTGAAGTCAAATTATCTGTATAGAAAGGGATATTTACAATAAGAACCTGTTGTGCTTTTTTTATTGGGTACATTATGCAAATAATTTTGCTTCTCTCCACCAGCTCATGAGTACAGCAGATTTTATATCATCCTTTCGTGTAAGTTAAAAGATGAGAAAGCCCAAATTTGAAATGAAAGTGGCTTACCCAAGAACACAATTGCAAACAGGGTTGTACTAGATTTTTTTAACCTTTCTGATTTCCAACCCACTGCCATTTTTGTTAAGTTATGTAGCTATCTGATGTTTTGAAATCTATTTTTTATTCACAGAATATATCACATTTATGATGCATTGTTCTTAAGTTTTGCTCTATTTAACCTTCTTTATTTAAAAATTTATCATAGTCAAAATTTCTATACAAATGAATATTTTTGAATATTTTTTAACGTTTTGAATATCAGGCAATCAAGTATTTTGTGTGGACTGGATACCTACAATGCTTAGAATACTATATTCAAGTTTTAAAATGACATACCAAGGATTATAAAAACAAGCAACATTTATGAAATGTTTCTGGGCTGCAAGGCACTTCTTGACAAACTCACAAGGACTTCAGCTTGTGATATCTGATTTCCTGGTTAAGAGAAAATCCATAAATTTTGAAAACTGTTACCCTTCCTGATGTCAGTTTTCTCTTGATTGGGACTCTTAGAGATGGACTATAAAGTCTTTTTTTTTTTTTTTTTTTTTTTTTTTTTTTTTTTTCAGATTTAACACAAAGTCATATGCATTTATTTAGGGTCCTATATTTGAAATCTCTATTGAGGGCTACTAGAGCAGAAGACAAAATGTAAGAGTTGGTCACTGCCTTTAGCAAGCTTACAATGTAAAGCTGGGACCACTCAAGGCATACATATGTGGAAAATTTAGCATGCAAGGATTTTTAAAGAGCAGCGTGTTAACCTACTCATTTTATGTGGTCAGGCCAGTCTCAGTGTGTTAGGCAGTTCGGTGGTCTAATGAGCTCTATAGTTAATAAGGAACTGAGGCACTCCTTTATGTACTAATCAACAGTTAGCATTTGTTGGACCCTGTGTTTGAAAAGCAACATCTCTGTTTGTGTAGTCAATTTATTTTACCATTGCATGATTTGTTACCTTGCTCTTGAATGGTCTTCTCCTTAGGTACAAGATGTGGTGAGAATCTCTATATGTCAAGTGACCCTACTTCCTGGTCAGCTGCAATCCAAAGCTGGTATGACGAGAGCCTAGATTTTGTCTATGGTGTAGGACCAAAGAGTCCCCATGCAATTGTTGGACATTATACTCAGGTAAGAAGAATGCATGAAAATACCTATGTCACAAATGTTCTAACAGAGAAAAGCTTCTCCAGATTATGACCACCGCAATGTTCAATTTAGGAGAACAGCCTGAGTGAGTATAACACAGTCTTGACATTTGGCTGCTTGTAGACCTGTCATTTCTGTCCATGGTCAGTCAAACTTAGTAGGAAAGCATGCTCTATATTGTTCCTACATTATAAATGATAAAGTGATGAATGTATATGAAAATTAACTATTTTTAAAGTTTATGACTTTAGTTCAATAATTTAAATATTTTATATGGTATATGCTTGTAAACTAAAACTAACATTTTTTCAGTTTTATTTTTGCTATTTGTTTTATTAATATTTTTCCTCTTCTCTAATGTACTTTCATGTGTCTTTTCCATTGGGGATTTGCAGCTTGTTTGGTACTCAACTTACCAGGTAGGATGTGGAATTGCCTACTGTCCCAATCAAGATACTCTAAAATACTACTATGTTTGCCAATATTGTCCTGCGTAAGTATACTCTTTAGAGTTTAATGGCAATAATTCAGTCTGCAATTTATTTACACACAGGCACACACACACACAAACACAAACACACACACTTACAATTACCATTGCAAATAATTCATTTATTTGGGTCTCAATGGCTATGAAGGACATCTTTATTTCAGAATACAGAAAAGATAACATCTTAAGCCTCTGATGCTAAGAATTGTTCACAGAAAGCTCTGTAACCATCTTGTAAGGTCTTGATTTGTTTCAGTAAACATGCTCCTTCATTAAACAATATGTTTAGAGCAATCCACAGTAAATCTTACGGATATTTTAAGGAGATAGTCACAATATATCTGTTAGTTTAAAATTTCTTTAATATTTGAAATTCTTTACCACTGGAGGCTGCAGTGGGGGGCACAATCTCAGAATTTGTTTCAAGACTAGATAGCGACGATGATGTAGGGTTCCAGTCTGAGAAATTTAACCTCCAAAGTCATTTTCCCTCAAGTACCTGTTAGGATTTAAGTAGAGAGATTTGAAAGGCCATAGGAGAATGTGTCCAAACTCACTGGCTGGTCTTCAGAGGGAGCCATCAGCAGTCAGGTGTCAGAATTAATAGTTGAAATAGATCATGAGGGAAGGCAAGAGAACTAGCTCTTTTCCAAGAGCCCATACACATACAGCTATATTCTAGGCAAAGAGACAGATTCAGCTGCACTTCCTGGGTCCTCACTCCACTTGGCCTATTGAGATTTGGACTCCCATGTATTTTCAAATGAATTTAATGGCCAATAAAATAATTACCATTATTCTATGGTTAGTCATTACAAAACTATTATACCCTGGATATCAGTGTTTATAAAAACTTCTTTAAACATTTTCTTTTTTTTTAAGTTTTGAGATAACAAAAATTAATATTCCTTTCTGGTAAAACATGCCACCTCTAGAAATTCACAAACCTCCCTAAGTACATCCGCACAAACACACACAGCACTACTTAAAAATTGCAGCCTCTGTCTAGGAAAAAAACTATTCTGGAGCTATATTTTGCATAGTTTCTGTTAAAGACTTTATTTTTTTCACTTTTCAAATGTAAAATGATATTTAACATTGGATATTCATTCTCCTGCTGCTACCTGCTACTCCTGGGATCTTTTCCTCTCTCTCTACAGGATACGTTTTACCCCTAATTTACATCTTGGAGTACACTGCCTTAGTAATTTGACTAAATATACTGGGAGATGAAAAGGGTGTTGCTGCACTGAATATATTCTGAAAATTTTAGACTCTTGTCATCCCAATTTAGTTACCCAGCCTGTGGAATTATAGTCAAGAAGATATGTCATGTGGAAAGCATTTTCTTAATTTGTATTGTTATCTAAAATACACACTGCAAATTGTAATTTTTCAGATTTGTTAACATACTAAAAACACTGAATACTATTTATGTATATTTGATAGTTGATATTGCCCTTAGAGTATAAACAATAAAGTGAAAAGTATTTGACGTTATGTATTTCAAATTTCAGTGGTAATAATGTGAATACAAAGAATACCCCTTACCAACAAGGAACACCTTGTGCCAGTTGTCCTGATAACTGTGACAAAGGACTATGCAGTAAGTTTGAAATTATTAGCTTGCTGTTACTTATTATAGAATTGATATTTTCTTTACTTTGTATAATTTAATAAATCTCCTAAGGTAACTAACTGAAATAACGTATTTATGAAAATGCCAAAGAAAATTCAACAAAGTCTGCTTAAACATTTTACACACTGCCATAGTCTGCATATTATTGGTAATGAAAAGCATATTCCCATATGTAGCATAATGGAACATTTATCATCAATGTGGTTTCGTGACTCTACAGAGCTCATTAACATTAACCATACACCTTTTTGGTAAATAGTTAGCTTCTCAAAGTTCCTATCACTATACCAAAAATAGTATTTTAAAACAATCAAAGTGTATAAATCTAAGGTGTGAGCCCATATGATGGCTCAATCTAAACAGGTACACTGAATATTACTGTTTATTTGTGCTAATGTGCTTGTCATACTGATTTCCTCACTTCTTTTTTATAGTATCATTAGGATCATAGCGTTTGCTTTAATAAATGATTACTTGCCCTAAAATTTCATGACAAAACTCAGCCTATATACAATATTGGCTCATAGAACCTATGCACATAGTTTTGCAAAAGGAGAAAATGAAATAAATATATCTCATTTAATAAATTGCCACGAATAGAAGTAAAAATAGCTTCTGGCTTTCTGTAGTTGGGAAACTTTAATTAAAATTATTACGAATGACAAAGTTGACACAACTGGGTGAGTGCTGGCCAAGAGAAGAAAGGAACAAGTTCTAGTTACTCCAGTTCCTGGCTTAAATTACTGAGGAGTTGGAGTATCATTTCCCTTAGATGGTGGTAGTGGTGCAGAGAGACCACTCCTGAGAATTGTCAGCCTTGTATCTAATACAAGGAGTTTAATTTGAGATTTGTTAGTTTGGGGCCTCTAGGGAACATCCAAGTAGAAACATCAAAAGGAAAAGGGCATATTGTCTTTATTTTACACTTGTATCCACCCATCAAGATTATTTACTCAAAAAAAGCATTGGACTGTAAAGCCATGATGCCCAATATGATGATATGATGGAAACAGTCTCTATCGACATGTGCTACTAATCACAGTTTGAACACTTGAAGTGTGGCTAATAAGATTAAGAAACTATAATTTTAATTTAAATGTAAATACCTATGTGTGGCTAAATGGCTCCCATATTTGGCTGTGCAGGTATAGAAAAATTTAGTTACATTCATATTACTCTGCTCACTGAGGGGGAAAAATAGGTCAATTTATTTTAGGAACATGTCACTAAATGTAGAATTTAAACAGTGATGGATTTTGATGGATTTATCAGTGAGCTCAATTAAGACACCTCTTTGTCCCTTAAGATGTGAAAGACCAATTGCAGTGTAAGTGATACTAACTTGTTCGTTCCTTCCTTCCCTCCCACACACTTTGAATGTACAGTTTTGCTGTTACTGAAGAAAAGGATAATGAGGTAACTAATCTGTTTTTGTTACAGCCAATAGTTGCCAATATCAAGATATCCTAAGTAACTGTGATTCCCTGAAGAAGACAGCTGGCTGTGAACATGAGTTGCTCAAGGAAAAGTGCAAGGCTACTTGCCTATGTGAGAACAAAATTCACTGACATGCCTAATAAGCATTGTGCAGGACTACATGGATAAGGGCTGCATCATTTAGTTGACACATACCAGGGGAAAGTTTTATGTATGTTAGTTACAAATTTGATTTCAAAGAGCAATGCATCTTCTCCCAGATCTTCACAGAAATCATTTTCAGGCAATGATTTACAAAAGTAGCATAGTATATGATAACTTTGAACTCTGACATAAATGTAGTGCTTATATTTAATGAACTGAACCAGGCTGAGGATTTTGAAAATTGTAAGACCATAGGATTAGGTCACTAGAGCTTTGGATCAAAATGGTGAGTGACATGCTTCCTGAAACGTGCTAAAGAAGAAGACTAACATCATTGTCATTCCTACTACCTGATTTTTGCTGGCATAAACAATAAACTCAAAGCTTTACATCTGCATTTGTCTTATGACCTTTCTTTTAAACAAAATAATCGGCTTTTAGACCAAAGAACTTTTCTAAGCAATCACGTATGATTCTCGTGCAATATTTTTATACCATTCATAATTAACCCCAGCTAGATTCATCTGAGATACATGATAAAACAAAGCAAAATTTTCAAAACAGAAAAAAAATTTCTATAAAGTTAAATTCTAACAAAAAATGAATCAGTTCTACTCTTACTTGCTTTCTCCTTTTTGATATTTTAATCTCCCTGCCGGTTTAGTTGATTTTTTTCAAAGCCAACAAAAAAGGCACAATTCAACAGAATATACATATATAGACTTCCAAGAGAACAAGTGAAATAATCATTATTTTGGAGACACTAACCATATACAAGTCTTTATATACATTTCATTTAAGTTTGGTAACAACAGGGTAAAGTAAGCCCATTTTACAGATGAGAAAACATAACTAAAAACCTTTTTAAAAGTGAAAAAGTTATTGAAAGTCAGAAGGTAGATCTCGCTAGACAGATGGTGAAACAGCATGAACTACTAATGCCTCCAAGATTGAACAGATTATCTGAATTATCCTATAAACATTAAGGAAATTGAGTTAATAAACTTAAAGCTTCCAAAAAGGAAATTTCTAGGCCCTCAAATGGTTTCACCACATAATTCTGCCAAATATTTAAAAGAATAATTAATAGCAATTTTATACAGTTTTTTTCCAGAAAATTAAATGGAAGAAAATATTTTTCAATTCAGTCTTTGAGACTAGTATTATCTTAGTACTAAAACTAAAACTAAAGGCATTTCAACAGGAAATAACTATATAGATAGGTCTATAGCTATCATGGGCATAGACGGAAAAATTTTAAACAAATATTTAGTAAATATTTCAGCAATATAGTAAAAGGAAAGTACACCCTCACCCAGACTTGAAACAAATTACTAGAATAATCAAAAATTAAACTGTCTAGAAGGTAAATTGCCTATTATAGAGTATATACATTGCATACACAGCTCCTTATGAATTTCTTTGGAAATTGATTCTTCCACAAGATTAGCGTTTCTTCATCCTAATCTTAATAAATCAAGTGTCTGATAATCTATGTTTTGAAATTTTTAGCCTACTTCAGGGGAGAAAAAGGAATATTTATTTTTGTAACTGCAAGAGCACTGAGGTGCAGAGACGATGGAGGGAAGCAAACAATATTCCACTTGAGTGGCTCTCATATGAAGCACACTCCATTATTGAGATGGCATTTGAAAGGTTTTAAATACAGAGTTTTCTTTAGAATTTTTAGTTTAGAGTTAGCTTTGTGGGTGGAAGATCTGATCTGATCCTTAACAGCAGTGACTAGAAAAAAAAATTTATAAATGCTTTCAGATAGTAGGAAAATCTTTGCTGTTATCACAGCATTCTTAAATTTTATATAACTCTAATGGCTGGTAAAAAGTCCAGAAAAACAAAAAAACAGAACAAAACAAAACTCTATACTAGAATCTTTAAGATTTAATTGCTAATTAAGAGTTAAAACAGTCGTCTGGGTGCAGTGGCTCATGACTTTAATCGTAGCACTTTGGGAAGCTGAGATGGGCTGATCGCACGAGTTCAGGAGTTCGAGACCAGCCTGAGCAACATGGTGAAACATGGTCTCAGCTAAAATATCTAAAAAAATAAAAAATAACAAATAAAAAAATCAGCCAGGAATGGAGGCGGTCACCTGTAATCCCAACAACGCGGGAGGCTGGGGCACAAGAATTGCTTGAACCCGGGAAGCAGAGGTTACAGTGAGCAGAGATTGTGCGCTGCACTCCAGCCTGGGCAACAAAGTGAAACGCTGTCTCAAAAAAAAAAAAAGAGAGAGAGAGTTAAAACAAAAAAAAAAAGAGAGAGTTAAAACACTCAAAACACTTTTTCTCCCACTAAACCAAACGGTTGTTTTAGTAACATATGTTTTGTCTTATATAATTTGTATCACTAAGCTTACATTCATTCTACAATAATAATAGTAAATTCTTAGATGCTCTATAGTTCTTTAAGTTTTCAAAATGTTAATGATGACTATTTTGTTACATACATATTTTTAACCAATGAAAATGTCCAATTCTAAACTAAAATGTCTTCAGAAATACCCCAAATACCCACAAACATTTGACTTTATAGATTTTGCTGAATCTTTTTTGAAATGAATATTTTCAGTGAACATTATGATATCATTACTAACTCAAGTTCCTCCTTCATTTGGCCACATATTAACTATTCATCTGTGTTTCCTTCTACATTCATGCACTCATAATTCATTGATTTCTGACATTTGATTGTGCCTCAGCCTATTTATTTTCATACTTCTCTGCTTTTGTTTATCTTAGATTTTCTTAATCTGGTCAGAATTGTATTTAATTTTAATTTCAGTCCAATGTTTCAAGTAAAATTATTCCTTCTTTTTGGATCACACAGGATTTGTTTCCGTTTCTTTTGTGAAAACTTGTTTCCTCTGTTAAACATTAAGTTACCCCTGGAAAAACCTGTGACTATTTATTTCTATGGCTTGCAATGCATGCACACTGTGGTGTACATATGGTAGGCTATCATTCAGTATTTACCCCATGAATGCAGATGTCTTTATCATCAATTCTGTTCTCAATCAGGTATTGACTAAATAGGAGACATGATACTTAAAGGTACAGAATATTAAAAATAACTTTTTAATAAGCAAACAATATAAATTTTACATTAGGAAAATCCATACCTATGTTTCCAAATGCAAATTATCTTTAAAATATTGACTGATATTTATTAATTGCAATAAAACAGATATAAAAATTTTAAGGATTAAAGATGCTCTTATAAACAGCTGAGAATTTTTAAAAATATACTCATTTTTGTCTTCTGCTTTGAAAATCCTCACACTGTCCTCTAACTTGGTTTCTGTCTGGAAAGAGTGATGTGGAGAGGGTAGATTTATCATCTTTTTGCTAAGAACGGTGAGAAGAGGGGGATTCTAATTAGAACTTAGGTTAACCCATACTGTCTAAGAATATAGTAAGTTTCTCCATTTACTCAGAGTATACTTTTCGTTCTTAAAAAACATCTGATAATATTTTAATGTTTCCCCACATAGATTTTGTTCCTTTTTAATAAAATTTATTCCTAAAAATGTAAAAGTTATGAAATAAATTTTTAATTATTAAAAGATTAGTTCTATTATTTATTAAAACAACTTTATGCCTATTTTATATCCAGTCATCCAGTCATCTCATTAAACTTATTAGTTTTAGTAATATTTTGAACTGTTTAGTCTGTTATTTAAAATATTGCTTGGCGGCAGGTCACAGTGGCTAAGGCCTGTAATCCCAGCACTTTGGGAGGCCTAGGCGAGTGGATCATGAAGTCAGGAGATCCAGACCATCCTGGCCAACATGGTGAAAACCCTTCTCTACTAAAAATACAAAAATTAGCTAGGCCTGGTGGTGGGTGCCTATAGTCCCAGCTGCTCAGGAGGCTGAGGCAGCAGAATCACTTGAATCTGGGAATCAGAGCTTGCAGTGAGCTGAGATCACACCACTACACTCCAGCCTGGTGACAGACAGACACCCTGTCTCAAAACAAAACAAAACAAACAAACAAAAATACTGCTTGGCATATAATGAGTGATTAATACACAATGTTATCATTCAGGACTGTGCTATATTCCAGTAAAACTGATTAATAAATGAGTGCCATTTTATAGCATTAAAATACATATAAGCAAGGAAATAATAAAAACACAATTATGGACCAATAATGATAAAAACCATACGAGAGGTATATCTTTTTTTTTTTTTTTTTTTTTTTGAGACAGAGTCTCACTCTGTCGCCAGGTGCCAGGCTGGAGTACAGTGGCACAATCTCAGCTCACTGCAACCTCCGCCTCCTGGGTTCAAGCAATTCTCCTGCCTCAGCCTCCCGAGTAGCTGGGACTACAGACGTGCGCCACCATGCCCAGCTAATTTTCATATTTTATTAGAGACGGGGTTTCACCATGTTGACTAGGATGGTCTTGATCTCTTGACCTCATGATTCACCCGCCTTGGCCTCCCAAAGTGCTGGGATTACAGGCGTGAGCCACTGTGCCCGGCCGAGAGGTATATCTTAATTTAGTTTTGATTGGGAATGTTTTGATGACTGTAATATAGTTTTAAATATTCTGGTATCAAAGGAGCTATCCAAATATGTGTGTTAGTTTTAAATTATACTTTAGAAATAGTCATTTCCTTCATCAGAAATTAATAATCCAGATTGGGCACAGTGGCTCACACCTGCAATCCCAGCCCTTTGGGAGGCCGAGGAGGGTGGATCACCTAAGGTTAGGAGTTCAAGGCCAGCCTGGCCAATATGGTGAAACTTTGTCTCTACTAAAAATACAAAAATTAGCCAGGTATGATGGCAGGTGCCTGTAATCCCAGCTACTTGGGAGGCTGAGGCAGGAGAATTGCTTGAACCCAGGAGGCGGAGGTTGCAGTGAGCTGAGATGACATCATTGCACTCCAGCCTGGGCAACAAGAGTGAAACTCAGTCTAAAAAAAAAAAAAAAAAAGAAAGAAAGAAAAGAAAAGAAAAAAGTGAAATTCATAATAATCCAGGATGTACAGCTAGTGTTTACTTACAGCAACCTATAAAGGTAACATAACTGCTACAAATATTTCAACTAAAACATGCCTTAATCAATATGAGACTTTTTAAATGAAAATGATGAGATTCAAAAATGCATTTTTGTGAAAGTGGAAATAGGCTCTCAACATAGAAATTAATGATATTCAAAATATTCTACAAAATTTAGAGGCAATCCCCACTCAACAGCTAACATTAACAGAGTAAGACCTGTTTTCCGAATATTTTCTTATCACAATATAATGGCTTTTTGACCTGTTTCTCAAAGCCCAATTGATTACCCGCTAGGTTGCTAGTAAATGTTCAGTGAATTGTGGCATATAATAGTTTAATGTATTTTTCTAATTGAAAAA